AGTTTGAGTGTACCCTTGATTGACATGACGTGTCTTATTCCTTGTAATACTACCAAACTCATCAATTTTATTATTAAAAATCCATTTGGTTCCTATCACATTACACGAAGGTTTGCGAACTAACTCCCACACGTCATTCCTAATAAATTTCTTTAATTTCTCCTACATTGCTTGTATCCAACACTCATCTTTCAGTGCCTCTTTAATTCTTATGTCCTAATATAGAGGTCTAACATACAAAGTATGAAATTCCAATCATTTCCTTAAAATTCGGCCTAACACCTCTGGTTTTTATCTCATCTAAGGCATTTATGACTTGCTCTGAAAGATTATATATATGAATCTTGGAAGGTGGGTCCCGCTTTTATTTAGGCCGATTTCCTGACGATGTTGGTACACCAAACTCATAATTTGAAAATTTTCCCTAACATTGTCCAGAAGAGTTTCTTCCTTCTTAACCTCAACCTAATTCACCTCAACTTTTTGTTTATCCTATGAAGACAATAAGTTAACTAAATCAAGACCAATAGAACTAGATATGAACTAACATTAGGCAAAAAAAATTAAAACTGACATCGATTGTTTCAATAATTGTGTGAGTACTTGTGTTATACACTCTGTAAGCACGATTATAAGAAGAGTACCCAAGAAAGAAACCAATATCGCTCTTGGCATCAAAGTTGCCAAGTTGCTCACGATCACTATAAATGTATCACTTGTAATTGAAGATATGCAAATGACAAAGATTCGGAGACCTATATTTCCAGAGTTTATAAGAAGTAACACTAATACCTCGTTGAATGTATACCTGATTAGTGAGATAACATGTTGTGTCAATTGCTTTGGCCCACCAACGTGGTGACATCTTCTTAGAATGGAGCATTACTCTCGCCATTTGTTGCAATGTTTGATTTTTTCTCTCCGCAACACAATTTTGCTGCGGCGCCTTAGAGGAAGAAAACTCATGAAAAATTCCACGTGAGTTGCAACAATAACAAAAATCAACATTCTCTAACTCAAGTCCATGATCACTCTGAATTTCAATAATAGGAAATCCTTTTTTTCCAATCTCAAGCAAAGGTTTTTAAAAGTGACAAATGTATTAGATTTTTCTTGATGTATTTATATGGCTACAATAGAGACCCTAGGGAGATGTTAAATATGGGTTTTCCAAGCATGAGCCCAACTGTGGGCCAAGCCCACTCCACTCAATGCTCGAATAATAAATCATTCCACTAGAAAAATATTTTTGCACTTTCAATTTAACTCCGGATTATAATTTATTCATTTCTCTATTTATTACTCGATCTATATTCTCTTATTTAAGATGTAACGTCTATTGATTAATTTCACTACTGACAATTTAATTAATCAACTTCTATGTCCAAAGCTTTTACCACTCAATTCCTTATCCTTTTGTTGGAACTCAATCCTTCTGTAGAGCTTGACATAACGATCTTTCTTGAGCTCACTTCAGGGACGTATTCGACCCGAACTTTCTCAGAGACACAGTGATCGATAGACAATATTGACGGCATATCATGCAGCCGACATTACTTACCAAAATATCGAGTATGTTGATCTACCAAAATAAGTCTCACCCTTGATAAATGAAATAAGTAAGTGCCGACTACATATGCCCGTACATTGTCTTGCGGGTTAAGAATAAGAAGCAAATAATGAGGTCTGGATTATTTACTTGGTCAGTGTAAAATAATCTTATCCTCCTGTGGGTCGTTCAATACACATGAGATGTGCTAGTATAATCCATTAGTCTAAGATAAACTAATTCTAAGATTCACATTATAGTCTTTCACACAAAGGAGTTCAATCCCGTCTAGACTGTGAACTCATTTATATTTTACAAAGAACCGATAATATGATCTTACTGTTCCAAACCCAGAACCATATTATCTAAAGTGTAAAATAAAAAAAGAAAATGTTCGCATAAATAAATTAACTGCAATCATGCACTTGACTAAAATGTGAATTTTCATTCAAAATGGTATTGTCAGAAACTGAAAGCTGAGCTTTTACAGTATAACCTAACAGTTGGGACTCAAGTTGTTGGGATTGGATGGAGACCTCCACCCCACTTCTTTGTTCTCCTTCAACCTGTTTCCCTCTATCCTATGTGTCTTCTTGACGACTTCGTCCTTCGCCAGTGAGCGTTATCGGCGTAGCTCTACCAGTTCCAGCTGGTAACAACTGGCTTTTTTCCTTCTACAGGTGTTGATAGATCCTCCTTCCAAAGACCAAACGGCGGCGCATGACTACTCAATGGTGGTGTTGATCCTCGAGTTGAAAGCAAGACCATGAGAGAGAGGAATAAGACAACATGTATTTGATGAGCCGAGCTGGGTACACAGACAGACTATCATGCGAAAAAGAGTCGAGCTGCAAGAGACAACAAGGCCGAAAACCAAGACATGGGAACTAATCCGAGTTGGATTAACGGGTAGTGCAAAAAGAAATGAAATAAAGGCAACTTGCAGCCCAATGATGAAAGATCACATCTCCGCCACCTAACTTGACAACCGGTCAGTCCTAGACTCGTAGGGTAGCCTGACACATTAAATGCGCCAGTCCAATCAATTAAATGTGCACTGTACGACCCCATGAACAGTTTCTGGGTCCCCAGTTACTATGAATAGTTTTGCACTAAGACCCAAAAATGGGGATGAAAAATTAGCACAACTTAGGTGATATAGACTCCAGAAAAAGCATAAAAGGATACATTAGTCTGAGCTATAAAATAAATGGCTGACTTAGGCCGTAGAGACATTGTCAAATTCTTGCATTTCTTCATTTTTTTTCCTAGGGTTGTTTAATTAGCCTCAAGGCTAGTTGTTTAATCAACCTCTAATGAAATAGAAAAAAATTCCACTTGAAATATCGTTTATTTCTTAATTAATCGTTGATCGAAAACGTTCATCAACAGGTGGTAATCCCACACGACGATGTCTGGCTTCGGACTAGGTGTTAAAGGAGGACACCTATCCGCCCAAGCCTCCCTAAAAATCATCACTCAAATTCCTTTGTATCCCTTTCCTTTCAGCCATGTCAGGTGATTGTAAAATGGGTAGATAGCTCTCAGTTCCTTCAAAAGATCCCCACAGACGGGGTCAATTGATGTTTCAGCGACTTAAGTCAAGGCTGGACCGGCTGTTTATGAGCTCCAATCTATATTAACCGCTCAAGATGACCCGCAAAAAGGATCAGAAGGGTCTTTCGTCGTTAGCATGGCGCCCAAGTCAGTACAAAGGAAGAAGATGATAAATGGTTTGTAAGCAAAAGGCTGTATGTAATGTATGGAGAATGTAAAGACCTTACAGTTGTACCTTTGTCTCTTTATATATGGGGATATCTGCCCGAAATAGTCTGCCCGAATAGCCTAGCTACCTGTGGTCAGCCTGCTCGGGTTTGATCTTATCTACTTAATGCTTATCATCATCCTAGTTGCCATGGACGAATTTACATTGGGCCTGGGCTGGGCTGAAGCCCAGGCCTAGTATTTTTTATTTTTAACAACTATAAGTTTAAAACAAAAATTATTGTATTTATAGCCCAGCCTAATAAATCAGCCCACTAACCCACTCAAATAATTCACTTATCTATTTAAGTCCAAAGACTACAAACACCACTTTAATAAAATAGTATATATTGTTAGATTCATCTTTCCCACTAGGCACTAACCGACAAAACACCACTATACAACAAACTCCAATCATATTAATCAGTCGCGGTCATGCCTCTCTCCTGAACACAAAATAGTATATATTGTTAGATTCATCCTTCCCACTAGGCACTAATTAACCGACAAAACACTACTATACACTCAACTCCAATCATATTATTCAGCCGCGACCATGGCTCTCCTCTAAATACGAGAACAATGAATTTAGAAGAAAAAAAAACTATATTCAACAAGAAACAGACTATTTTCAAAAAGACATTAATTTCTTATTTATAGTAAATTATATTTTTATACCCCTAGATATTTGTTTCATTTGTCTATTTTTCTTTATTTAATTTTTTCATTGTAGTTGAGCTATTTTGGGTTTTAATAGTAATTGTTAGGATCATTTGGGTGCAATTTTTGTTTTGTTGATTGTGTATGAAGTAGTAATTGTGTTTTTTTTTTCATCTTTTATCCTCTAGTGTGGTTGTTGTATATTTGGATTTCAAGTCATGATGTGTATGCATTTCATTCTGCTAATAATTATGTCATCTGGAAAATCAATTTATTGGTACTACGGAATTTTAAAAAATTCACATGGAGCACCAACCTTCGGTCAAAAGAAAAATTTCATTGATATCATCGTTCTTTAGAAAATGGGATCGTCAAACTAGTGAAAGTATATCAAATACGGTGCAAACTGAAAAATAATGAATTTTATTCTGTAAAAGCTCGTCGAGCACAACTTCACTTAATATTTGAAAAAAAATAAAATATTATGTGAACTTTATGAAAATGAGTTTTTAAAATTTTATCTCAGTCTACTTTTAATTTCTGGATTCGTCACTGCTAGTTACGTTCTACTCATCATTATATTCCTTCTTATTTCCTGTAATTTTGTGGTGATTATCGGGTCGTCACAACTCTCCTCAAGTCGTCAAGACTCTCCTCAAGTCGTCTGGCCCAAACCTCAATCATCACGGTCGAGCTATCTTACACTCATATTAGGTGTTCATGTCGTCCGAGGAACTCCAAGTCATCTAAAGATCTTCCCAAGTCATCCGAGTACTCCAGTCCTGGCCATCTAGACTTTAAATGGTCTTCGGATTGTCTTTGTGATAGGCCGTTCAACCGCACGACCGACCCATTCATACTTGGTTAGTATTATTCCAATTAGCCCAATTATTACAATATCACAATTCTATAAGTTTTTTCTCGTGAGTGACAAGGTTGAGAAAGCCCGTACTCCATACTCGATAACTACAAACAAATAACATCACGAAATTAAAATTAATTATTTCAAAAAAACAAAAAAAAAAAATTAATTAATTTCAACAGTTTGTGCAATGGATCGATGGAGACCCTTTGTTTTGTGGCCAGAGCATGCATGAAACTGCGAGCCCAAAGTGACACATCTTAAACATGCTAACAAGCGCACGCTAAATAAATCTCCCCTAATAAATATAAATAAAAAAAATTAAATAAACCCCCTGCCTTTTGCATTTACTGCTACATAACCACCCCCTTTATTCACCAGTGTC